GGGCCCAGGACGATGTGCTCAAGCCTGTAATCCCAGCACTTTTGGGAGGCCGAGACGGGCGGATCACGAGATCAGGAGATCGAGACCATCCTGGCTAACACGTGAAACCCCGTCTTTACTAAAAAATGCAAAAAACTAGCAGGGCGAGGTGGCCGGCGCTCGTAGTCCCAGCTACGGGAGGCTGAGGCAGGAGAATGGCGTGAACCCGGGAGGCAGAGGCTTGCAGTGAGCTGAAGATCCAGCCACTGCACTCCAGGCCTGGCGACAGAGCGAGAACTCCGTCTCAAAAAAAAAAAAAAAGAGGACCAGCTGACCAACATGGGGAAACCCTGCCTTCTACTAAGAATACAAAAATTAGCCGGGTGTAGTGGCGCCACGCCTGTAGTCCCAGCCTACTGCAGGGGAGGCTGAGGCAGGAAATGGCTTGAACCCAGGAGGCAGAGGTTGCGGGTGAGCTGCAGATCGTGCCATTGCACTCCAGCCTGGGCAAGGAGTGAAATTCCGTCTTGGGAAAAAAAAAAGTGGAAATGTGCTGGCCAGTTGCAGCGAAAACCCAAATCACTTCACGGTAGGGCTATGTGGACAGGAGCTGCCCCGAGTCATCCTGCCTTTTGATTGTCTCCATCTTTGGAAGGAGAAAAGCATAAAGAAAAGGGACTTCACTTAGGTCGTGGAAAAATGCTGGCTAGAAGCCAGGAGAGCCTTGGGGACCTGGCCCCAGCCCTGCCACTGACTCCCGAGAACCAGTGGCTGGCCCTGGTCTCCTGGGATCTCAGTTTACTAAGTTGTGAGCCGAGGTGGGGATTAACCAGCTGAGGGCGAATTTGGTTTCTAATTGTCCTGTGTCCCCCTCCCAATTCCCTGGGAAAGGCTCCTTTGAACCTGTCTGTCCCCAGGGACCTGAATACACTTTGTGTCATAATTAGGTATTTATATGAGATGGCCCTGGGGGCAACCGGGTGCTCAGAGAAACAAACAGCAGGGCTGGGGATCTTGGCTGGGTCCTTTATTTTATTTTATTTTATTTTGAGACGGAGTCTCGCTCTATCGTCCAGGCTGGAGTGCAGTGGTGTGATCTTGGCTCACTGCAAGCTCCACCTCCCGGGTTCACACCATTCTCCTGCCTCAGCCTCCCGAGTAGCTGGGACTACAGGTGCCGCCACCTTGCCCGGCTAGTTTTTTGTATTTTCAGTAGAGACGGGGTTTCACCGTGTTAGCCAGGATGGTCTCAATCTCCTGACCTCGTGATCCGCCCACCTCGGCCTCCCAAAGTGCTGGGATTACAGGCGTGAGCCACTGCGCCCGGTCGGCTGGGTCCTTTATTTTTGAGTGAAGATTTCACTCTGTGGTCCAGGCTGGACTGCAGTGATGCAATTCCAGCTCACTGCAGCACTAAACTGCTGGGCTCAAGCAGTCCTTCTGCCTCAGCCTCCCATGTAGCTAGGACCACAGGCATGCACCACCATGCCTGGCTAATTTATTTTTATTTATTTATTTATTTATTTATTTTTATTTATTTATTTTTTTTGAGACGGAGTCTCGCGCTGTGTCATCCAGGCTGGAGTGCAGTGGCGCGATCTCGGCTCACTGCAAGCTCCGCCTCCCGGGTTCACGCCATTCTCCTGCCTCAGCCTCCGAGTAGCTGGGACTACAGGCGCCCGCCACCACGCCCGCTAGTTTTTTGTATTTTTAGTAGAGACGGGGTTTCACCATGTTAGCCAGGATGGTCTCGATCTCCTGACCTCGTGATCCACCCATCTCGGCCTCCCAAAGTGCTGGGTATTTATTTATTTTTTTGAGATGGAGTCTAGCTCTGTCGCCCTTGTTGCAGCTCACTGCAAGCTCCACCTCCCGGGTTCAAGCGATTCTCCTGCCTCAGCATCCTGAGTAGCTGGGATTATAGGAGCCCGCCACCACGCCCTGCTAATTTTTTGTATTTTTAGTAGAGACAGGGTTTCACCATGTTGGCCAGGCTGGTCTCAAACTCCCGACCTCAGGTGATCCACCCACCTTGGCCTCCCAGAGTGCTGGGATTGCAGGTGTTATTCACTGTACCCTGCTCGGTCCTTTGTTCTCCCATTTCCTGTGTGTTGGGTTCAGCCCTAGTGAGCCACAGGAGACAGGGCCAGGAGTGGAAACGCTCAGGGTCGCACGCAGAAACCCCAAGCACAGCAGCCGGGCGCCAGCTTGACACTTCCCATCCCCTTCCCATTCCCGCCCCGTGGGTTCATCAAAGGAAGCCCTGGGCCCTGAGTGAGGCTGGTGGGTACCTGGGCTGCTGTCCTCGATGTGGTTTGACCAAGGCAGAGTTTCCCTGGTGTCGGTGTGGGTGCTGGGCTGCAGAACCCAGCAGGCCTGGGAGAGCTTCCCGCTGTGCTTTGAGGGTGCAATAGCGGTAAACACTGCTCCTTAGAAGCAAGTGGAGAGGGTGCTGGGCTGGGGGTGGGTGCAGGTCCCCAACCCTACTCCTGGCTCAACCACAGAGGTCCGCAGCCCTTCCCGGACCCGGACCAAGCCCCTTGGAGGGGTCCAGGGTGGGTGCCAGGCCTGGGGTCTGTCCAGGGTACAGACCCTGCCCTATCCTGACCAGCCTGGTCGGCTCGTTGCTTGCAGATGGTGGTACTCATGGATCCCGGGGAGGACCCAGAGGATGTGGCGGGCACACACCGGTCCCGGGAGCGGACCTTCATCTTCGACAGGGTGTTTGACCAGCACGCATCTCAGGTCTCCACCTGCCTCTGCCATCCCTGCATCTCCCTCTGGGGCTGGAGCCCCCTGGTGAGGATATGGTGGCCAGGCAGTCTCGGCCCCATCTTCTCGCAGGGACAAGGAGACTGTGCAGAAAGCCCATCCCAGGGGTGACAGCAGGAGGCCCTTTCACAGTGCAGTGGCCACCAGGTTGCAGCTTTGCATAGGCTTGTTCTTTTTTTTTCTTTTTTTTGAGACGGAGTCTCGCTCTATCGCCCAGGCTGGAGTGCAGTGGCGCGATCTCGTCTCACTGCAAGTTCCACCTCCCGGGTTCACACCATTCTCCTGCCTCAGCCTCCAGAGTAGCTGGGACTACAGGCGCCCGCCACCACGCCCGGCTAGTTTTTTGTATTTTTTGGTAGAGATGGGGTTTCACCGTGTTAGCCAGGATGGTCTCGATCTCCTGACCTCGTGATCCGCCCGTCTCGGCCTCCCAAAGTGCTGGGATTACAGGCGTGAGCCACCGCACCCGGCCGCATACGCTCTTTCATTCATGCACTCAGCCCTTCATTCCACCAAGCGGCCATGTGTTCCGTGGGGCTAGAGTGCAGCCCTGCCTGCACGCCCACATCCTGGCAGGGGGGCCGACCAAATGGAGAAGCAGGTGTGTTGTGAGCACACATGGTGTCAGCCAGAGCCTGCAGAGAGGCTGGACACTAGACCCGGGGGAGGAGAGAGCCAGAGGGACGGGGATCCGGGCGGAGGCTCAATTGTGCCCATTTCACAGAAGAAGCCCCCTACAAGAGGTCGCATGGTGAGGCCCGGAGCCGAGTGTTTGGACCCAGAGTCAGATCACACTTTCTCCTGGTCCTCCACGCCACCACCCTCTACTAGCGACAAACGCTGTCACCTGACCCCCACCTGGGAGGGGGGTCACAGAGGGAAGCCAGGACCCAGGGAGGGGTGGTGGAGTGAGAGGCACCCCCCACTGAGTGGGGCAGGTGGAATTTGAACCCTGGCCTCCTGAACTAGGAGCGACAGACCATCACCAGGGTGAGCAGTTGGGGGATGTCTGGCCCCAAGACAAAGCCCAGTGGAGGATTTCATGCTTCCTCCAGGCCCTGCAGCCAAGTGACCTCCCTTCCCGTGGTGAAGGGTAAAATCAGGGCTCCCTGTGCCCTCTGAACTCCACCTTTAACTTCTTTTTTGTTTGTTTGTTTGTTTTTTGAGACAGGGTCTCACTCCATCACCCAGGCTGGAGGGCAGTGGTGCTATCTCGGCTCACTGCAACCTCCGCCTCCTGGGTTCAAACAATTCTCCTGCCTCAGCCTCCCGAGTAGCTGGGATTACAGGCGCCTGCCACCATGCCTGGCTAATTTTTGTATTTTCAGTAGAGATGGGGTTTCACCACGTTGGCCAGGCTGGTCTTGAACTCCTGACCTCAAGTGATCAGCCCGCCTCAGCCTCCCAAAGTGCTGGGATTACAGGTGTCAGCCACCATGCCTGGCCCCCATCTTTAACTTCTGAGAAGCCACGGGCCCCAGGTGTGCACAGCTATCCCCTAGTGATCAAAGATGGTTGCAGAACAGATCACTCCAAAGCCAAGTGGCTTAGAACTGCCATTGATAATCATCTTGCACAGTTCTGCCGGCTGACCAGGACCTGCTGGGCAGATTCCCACCCGGCTGCAATCTGATGTCAGGGGGCTGCAGTCGTCTGGGCCACTTGTCCATGGTGGTCCATTCACATGCCTCCCAGTGGATGCTGGAGATGGCTTGGAGATCCGCTAGGACTGTGGACGTGAGAACACTCAGGTGTCTCCTCTGTGTGCCTTGAACCTCCTCAAAGCATGGCGGCCTGCGGGCTCCAAGAGGGGCCAGGCAGAAGCCACCAGGCCTCTGGGAGGCATGGCCTTGCCTCTGCCACCCTTTGCTGGCCAAGCCAGTCCTAAGCCTGGCCAGGTTCAAGGAGAGGAGAATGAGACTCAGCTTCCTGATAGAGAAGTGGCAAAGAAGCTGTGGCCATCGTTAACCCACCACCCAAGTCCTCTCTTGTCTTCCCACTGGAGCCTGGCTGCTGAATTCACATGGAGAGCTTCTCGGGAAGGATGCTGGGTGCAGGAAACGGGTCGGCTTAGAACACCTGGGCCGCCTATTGGCACCAGGAGCTTACCCCTGGATTCAGGACTCAGCATGAAGCTAGAGGATTTGCTCGCAACGGCAGCTCCAGCTGCTGTCTCAGAAAACAGCTTCTCTCACTCTCCAGATCTGAACGGCGTGGAAAGTTACAGGCACTCGATCGTTGACATTTATTAAGACCAAGTGCAGTGGCTCACGCCTGTAGTCCCCACACATTCGGAGGCCAAGGCGGGAGGATCACCTGAGCCCAGGAGTTTGAGATCAGCCCAGATGACATAGAGAGAACTCATCTGTACAAAACAATTTTTTTTTTTTAAATTAGCTGGGCATTGTGGCACGTGCCTGCAAGTCCCAGCTACTTGGGAAGCTGAGGTGGGAGGATCTCTTGAGCCCAGGAGTTCAAGACCGCAGTGAGCTGTGATTGTGCCACTGCACTCCAGCTTGGGTGACAGAGCAAGACCCTGTCTCAACACAAAACAAAAACATTGTGTTTTTACTTACTTAGAGCGGCTGCAACACACCAAGTGCTGTGTTCAGGGCCTGGCACACACTGCTTCAGAAGCCCCATGGCCACCCGATGACTCACACAGCAACAGGCCCTTGCTTCACAGATGAGGAAGCTGAGGCTTGGGGAGGCTGACGCCCTACCCGAGTCTCTACAGCTAGAGGGCTGTGGACCCAGAATTTGGTCCCAACCATGTATGTCCAAAGCCAGAGGTAAGCTGTGCCAGCCTCGGAGCCTGTGCAGCCCGGGCACAGAAGTAGCCTCTTCCTTCTGCAAGCTCAGTGACCACCCAGGGCTTCTGGGACATTTAAATGAGATAAAGGCCCTGGAGGGGGCGCCAGAGATGCAGAGGAAGGGACTGCTGCTTCTATCAAGTCCAGCCAAACCTACACACCCTCATGCACCAGCCCTGGAGGTGTCCTTGCTTGAATGCCCCTGTGGACGGGGAGATCACTACCTATCCTTCTAGTGCTGGGTACTGCTGCCTATGTCAACTTCTTCCAGCCTGAAACTTTCACTGGTCCTAGTTCTGTCCCAGAAAGAGGAGTCATGGCCCTCTTTCCAGACTCACAAGTCTGTTGCCACCTTGAGCCCTTTGCCACTCTCTTCTGCTCTTTTTTGAGATAGGATCTTGCTCTGTTGCCCAGGCTGGAGTAGAGTTGTGCCATCACAGCTCACTACAGTCTGAACTCCCAGGCTTAAGCAATCCTCCTACCTCAGTCTCCTGAGTGCCTGGGACTACAAGCCTGCACCACCATGCCTGCCTATTTTTATTAATTAATTTATTTATTTTTTGTAGCGACTTGGTCTGGCTGTGTTGCCCAGGCTAGTGTGGAACTTCTGGGCTCAAGCCATCCTCCCACCTTAGCCTCCCAAAGTGCTGGGATTCCAAGTGGGAGCCTCTGCACCTAGCCTCTTTACATTCTTTTTTTTTTTTTTTTTTTTTGAGACAAAGTCTTACTCTGTTGTTAAGGCTGGAGTGCAGTGGTGCAATCTCGGCTCACTGCAACCTCTGCCTCCCAGGTTCAAGCAATTTTTCTGCCTCAGCCTCCCAAGTAGCTAGGACTAGGTGCACATCACCACACCCTGCTAATTTTTATATTTTTAGTAGAGATGGGGTTTCATCATGCTGGCCAGGCTGGTCTCGAAGTCCTGACTTCAGGTGATCCACCCGCCTCAGCCTCCCATAGCGCTGGGGTTACAGGTGGGAGCCACTGCACCAGCCTCTTTGCGTTTTTTGGTTTCTCTCAATTCTTAGAGAAGCCCTGGAAAAAACTCACATGCGTTTAGTACCTAATGCATGGCAGGCCCCACGGAGGAACCATCACATACCTTCTCATTTAATCCCTCGAAACTGCCCTGCAAGGTCAGCCTCATCTCACACCGTGAGGCTCAGCACAGCCAAGGCAGTGCGCCCAAAGTCACACCCACAGGATGGGGACTGAACCCGGGGGCATCCAGTGCCTGCGCTGTTTTTAGCCTTCCCTCGCCTGAATATGGCCCTGTATCTATCTGGAGGGATTGGAACCTGTGCAGACACCACACACCTGTCCTCTCCGAGCGGCCAGGCCCCCTGTACCTGTGCAGACACCACACTCCTGTCCTCTCCGAGCGGCCAGGCCCCCCGTACCTGGGCAGACACCACACACCTGTCCTCTCCGAGCGGCCAGGCCCCCCGTACCTGTGCAGACACCACACACCTGTCCTCTCCAAGTGGCCAGGCCCCCCGTACCTGTGCAGACACCACACTCCTGTCCTCTCCGAGCGGCCAGGCCTCCTGACTGTGGCGGGGCTGTCCGTGTGACTGTGGGTCCTCTGTCTCTCCACAGGAAGAGGTGTATGGTGCTACCATCCAGCATTTGGTGGAAGGTGTCATCTCTGGGTACAACGCGACGGTGTTTGCCTGTGGCCCCTCAGGTACCATCAAGGGCAGTGTCCCAGTAGTAATCGGGGACTGTGACAGCAGGGTCTCGCTCTGTCGCCCGGCTGGAACGCAGTGGCGTAGTCACAGCTCACTGAAAGCCTCGACCTCCTGGGCCCAAGTGATCCTCCCACCTCAGCCTCCCAAGTAGCTGGGACTGTAGGCGTGTGCCACTGTGCCCGGCTAACTTTTGTATTTTTGTAGAGACGAAGTCTCCTGATGTTGCCCAAGCTTGTCTCGAACTTGTAATGAGGAAGACGTTGGGGAGAGCTCCAGGACGGTCAGGAGGGAGAGGAGGGGGATGGGGGAGAGTCCCAGGATGGGCCAGGAGGGAGAGGAGGGGGACGGTGGGGAGAGCCCCAGGATGGTCAGGAGGGAGAGGAGGAGGGGGACGGGGGGGAGAGCCCCAGGACGGTCAGGAGGGAGAGGAGGAGGGGGACGTGGGAGAGAGCACCAGGACGGTCAGGAGGGAGAGGAGGAGGGGGACGGGGGGGAGAGCCCCAGGATGGTCAGGAGGGAGAGGAGGAGGGGGAATCGGGGGGAGAGCCCCAGGACGGTCAGGAGGGAGAGGAGGGGAACGTTGGGGAGAGCCTTCGCGGTGGCTTTCGCAGAAAGGAGCAGGCGAGGCCGGGAGCACAGGCTTAGGGTTGGCTGTTTGGGTAATTCCAGCAGGCTCCAGGGCCTGGGGGCTGTCCCTGGTTATCTGGTAACTGGCCCTGGGTGACGAGGGCAGCCAGATGGTGGCAGAGTGTGAGAGCCCCACAGAGGAGGGGCGGGGGCGTGGGCTCCGGATTGGTTACTCTATAGATGAAAGGTGTGCCCACAGGCGAGCCGCTCACTGCCTCTAGGAACCGACTAGCCCTGGGAGGACCTGTCCCTCCAGGGTCGAGGCCCCAGATGTCAAAGCAGTGGTATATAGGAAAGAAAAAGGCAAAAAGACTCAGACGGGTGGAGGCGCAGACAGTTTCCTACAGACACAGCTGAGTCTGAAGGCGGAAACAACACCAGGCCCTGGGCAGCAGCGAGGGGGCCGGCCCGGCCTAGCGGGGCTTGGCTGTGTCCTCTGGAGACGAAGCAGAGACTAGCCTCCTGGGGTTTGGCTCTGCACGGGGCACCAGGCAGGGAGTCCAGACCTTGCATCCTCGTCCTGGCTGTGCTCCAAATTGCTGTGTGTTTGAGAGGCCGAGACCCCTCTCTGGGCCTTGGTGTTTTAGCTGTACATTCAGTGGCCCCCAGCTTGGGCTCGTTTGGGGGGTGCCTTGGCTCTTTACAGACTTTTTTTTTTTTTTTGAGACGGAGTCTCGTTCTTGTGCCCGGGCTGGAGTCCAGTGGCCGGATCTCAGCTCACTGCTAGGTCCGCCTCCCGGTTTACGCCATTCTAGTGCCTCAGCCTTCCGAGTAGCTGGGACTACAGGGCGCGCCCGCCACCTCGCCCGCCTAGTTTTTTGTATTTTTTAGTAGAGACAGAGTTTCACCGTGTTAGCCAGGATGGTCTCGATCTCTCTGACCTTGTGATCCGCCCGCCTCGGCCTTCCCAAAGTGTTGGGATTACAGGCGTGAGCCACCCGGCCCGGCCTATCACAGACTATTTTTACATAGAAAGACTCACAAATGAGTTTGCTCCAGAGCACAGGTCTCCAAGAAAGTCCCCAACCCGGCTAGGTGCAGTGGCTCAAGCCTATATCCCAGCATTTTGGAAAGGCCGAAGTGGGCAGGATCACTTGAGGTCAGGAGTTCAAGACCAGCCCTGGCCAATAGGTGAAACCCCATCTCTACTAAAAATACAAAAATTAGCTGGGTGGTGTGGCGGGCGACTGTAACCCCAGCTACTTCAGAGGCTGAGGCAGGAGAATGCTGAACCTGGAGGCAGGGTTGCAGTGAGCCGAGATTGTGCCACTGCACTCCAGCCTGGGCGACAGAGCGAGACTCCGTCTCAAAAAAAAAAAAAAAAAAAAAAAGGCCCAGCACTGTGACGTAGACTCGTGATCCTGGGCTTGGGACTGGCGGGCCGGCAGCTGTGTCCTGCCCAGTTTGGCTCCCACTTGACAGAAGTGACAGCTGGATGCTTGCTGCTCGCTTCCCCGGCCTAGCTCCGTGCTGGCCTCTTCCACACGTTGTCCTAGGGTGGCCTCACCACAGCTCTGTGACATTGGGATTATCGCCCCTTTCGCCAAATAAAGAAGCTGAAATGCAGACTGGGAGATTCATCTGAGATAACTAGTTGAAGGCAATTTCAAACCACACTTCCAGTGACTCTAAAACCCACACCCTAGAAAAGAAATGCTAGTAAATTTTTTTTTGTTTTGTTTTTGAGACAGAGGTCTCGCCCTGCTGGTGTCGTCGCGAGGCTGGAGCTGTCGACAGTGGCACCCGATCTAGGGCTGCACTGGCAAAGCCATCGACCTCCTGGGACGTTCAAGCATAAAAACCTGAATCTTTGCCTGCGCCTCAGGCCTCGCTTTGAGTAGCTGGAATTACAGGTATAGCACACACGCCCGGCTGACTGTTTTAATTTTTGTGTTTTTTTGTTTTTTTGTGTGTGTTGTTTGGAGACGGAAGTCTGCTCTCTGATGCCAGGCTGGAGGTTTGCCGCAGTGGGACGGATGCCTCAGCCCTCATCGCAAGCGGTCTGCTCCCAAGGTTCACGCGACCATGTTCTGCGCCTGCCTCAGCCTCTTGGAGTTGCTGGGACTACAGGCGGCCTACCGGCACCATTGTGCCAGGCTAGGTTTGTTTGTGTGATTGTTTTTAGTAGGACGGGTTTGACCATGTATCAGCTCAGAATGTCTCGGATCTGCCGCGTACCCTCGGGGTGATCAGCCCGTCGCAGCCTCCAAAGTGCTGGGAATTACCAGGCCTTGCGCACTGCGCCCTGTGGCTTTATTTTCTCTCTTTGGGTTTATAGGGAGATTGGAGGATTTCATTCTGTGGTTGCGCGGCAGGCCGGAGAGGTGCAATGGCGGAGAGATGTGGGATCTGTTGTTGGGGCTGCTCACTGGTGGAGGCCGCTGCTGGGGCGTGCCTGGATTTTAAAGGCATCTCTCTGCCCTCGTAATCATCGTCCACTAGTAGCTGGTACAGGCGACCGAGCGACCCACTGGCCCAAGCTAATTTATGTTTTTTTTGCAGCTACGCCGACCTGGGGTTCTACCACGATGGCCAGGCTCGCGGTCTCTTGAACTCCCTGAATCTTGTGATCCTGCCTGGCTCTGGGCTCCCTCCAGAGAACTTGGGATTTGCTGGGCTGAGGCTCTGTGCCTGGCGAGTAATTATTTTTTTCCTGATTCAATTGTGATGACTTACAGAAAGGGAAGTGGGGCCGGGCACGGTGGCTCACACCTGTAATCCCAGCAACATTTGGGCCCGACCGGGCCCAAGGGTCGTTCGGTTATTTTTGGTGTGACCTGAGGTCTTTGGTGTTTGAGTAACCGCTGTCGGCCAACCATGTGCGAAACCACCGTTCTCTTCTAAATACAAAAAAAAGTGGGGTTTGCTGGGGTGTGGGATGTCGCGTGACGTGGCATGCCTGATAAATCCCAGCCTACAGGAGGCTGAGGCAGGTCACTTGAACCCCAGGAGGTGGAGGTTGCAGTGAGCCGAGATGCCACCACTGCACTCCAAGCCTGGTGCGACAGAGCAAGACTCATCTCAAAAAAAAAAAAAAGGAAAATGTCCGACTCTGCAGCGCGCAAAGGCGGGCATTTTTCCCAGCACGGCTGCTTTCGGAGGGCTTCGCCTGTGCTACGTGCCTCGTCATTCATTTTGCACACAGTGCTCGGGTGCCGTGGTCTCACCCTGTAATCCCAAGCACTTGGGAGGCTGAAGGGGATAAGTGGTCAATTAAAGGTCAGGAGAAGTTCATGACAAGCTAAAACTGGCTGAGGCCAGACATGGGACGGAAACCCCGTCTTCCACTACAAAACTAAAGAAAATTAGGTCGTGTTGGTTGGCGGTGGCCTGTGATCCCGCGTAGCTGTGGATGCCTGGAAGGCGCAGGCAGCATCGTTGAACCTGTGAGCGAGGCGAGGTTGCAGTGGCCAGACTCGCACCACGGGCACTGACCATGCTGGGTGACAAGAACCGGCATCCTCAAAAAACAAAAGCAGAGAACAAACAAAACGAGCATACACAGTTTCTGCACACAGGCATCGTTGAAGCCGCGCACCCCCTGGCTGGTTTTCAGGACTCTGGGACACAAGGCCAACAGGTGGTGCAGGTTTGCCTCCTGGAGCTTTTTCTTTTCGCTGTTTTTCTTCTTCTTCTTTCTTTTGTTTTGAGAATGGCCATCACCTCTGGTTGGCAGGCCTGGGGATGCAAAGCTCGGCGCGAGTCTCGCTACACTGCAAGTCCGCTCGGGTTCACGCCATTCTCCTGCTCAGACCTTCCCCCGATTAGCTGACTGCACGCCCACACGTTGCCCGCGTGCACTTTTCTTTTGCCTATTTTTCAGTAGCAGACGTTTTCACCGTGTTAGCCAGCGGATGTTGCTCGATCTCCTGACGCTCCGTGACCTCCACTCCCGCCCTCCAAAGTGCTGGGCATTACAGGCGTGAGCCAACCACGCCCCGGCGCAGGTTCTGGCCCTCCTGGAGCTTTAAATTCTAGATGGGGAGCAGGTGGAAAATCGCGTTATCTGACACACTATCTAAGAGTAACGGTCCATCACTGAGTTAAGTGATTTGGGAGGAGTGAAAGACAGGAGTGGATGTGACCAAGGGCAGTGACTGGGGGCTGTGGTCTCCCCTTTGGAGATGAGGTCAGTGTGCTCCGTGAGGAGGGGCCTGATGGATGAGGATGTTTCAGAGGGCTACTCCCCAGATGAAGCACACACCTTTATTTTTATTATAAAATGGGTTGGAGCGGGGCACAGGAGTTCACGCCTGTAATCCCAGCACTTTGGGAGGCCAAGGCAAGAAGATTGCTTGAACTCAGGAGTTCAAGACCAGCCTGGGCAACATAGCAAGTCCCTGTCTCTACAAAAAGTAAAAAAACTAGCTGGGTGTGGTGGCACACGCCTGTAGTCCCGGCTATTAAGGGAGCTGAGGTGGGAGGATTGTTTGGAACCAGGAGGTCGAGGCAGCAGTGAGCCCGTAATCGCACCACATAACTCCAGCCTGGGGTGACCAGATGAGACTCTGTCAAAAACAGACAGACATCCGTGGAGTTTTCTGCACAGACTTCCTTCTGATCTGTCTTGATCTGATTGATTGATTGATGGATTTGGAGGAACAGAGTCTCACTTCTGTCACCCAGGGCTGGAGTGCAGTGGCATGATCTTGGTTCACTGCAACCTCTGATTCTGGGTTCAAAATGATTCTCCTTGCCTCAGGTTCCTGAGTTGCTGTGGAATCTAGGCGCTCCACTTACTAACCTGGCTATTTTTTTTTTTTTTTTTTTTTAGATAGAGTCTTTGTCTGTTGCCCAGGCTGGAGTGCAAGTGGCACAGATCTCAGCTCACTGCATCTCTGCTCCTAGGTTCAAGTTTTATTCTCTGCCTCAGCCTCCCTGGTAAGCTGGTGAGTTACAGGTGTGTGCAATGATGCCCGGCTTAATTTTGTATTTTAGTAGGAACAGCATTATCACTATATTGGCCAGGCTCGGTCTCGAACTCCTGACGTCGTGATCTGCCTGCCTCAGCCTCCCAAAGTGACTGGATTACAGGCCTGTGAGCCACCGTGCCTGGCTTTTTTGTATTTTTTAGCAGAGAAGGGGTTTCACCATGTTGGCCAGGGCTGGTCTCGGAACTCCTGACCCTCAGGTGATCTGCCCGCCTCGGCCTCCGCGATTACATGCAGTGAGCCACTACTTAGTGATGAATATATTTTTCTTTTCTTTTTCTTTTCTTTTTTTTTTTTGAGATGGAGTCTTGCTCTGTTGCCCAGGCTGGGATGGCAGTGGCTCAGTCTCGGCTCACTGCAAGCTCCACCTCCCAGGTTCGATGCCATTCTCCTGCCCAGCCTTCCAAAGTAGCTGGGAGTAAGGCGGCCGCCACCAACCCGGCTAATTTTTTTGTTATTTTTAGTAAGACGAGGTTTTCACCGTATTCGGCCAGGAGGGTGCTCGATCTCCTGACTCGTGAATCCACCCGACCTTGGCCTCCCAAAGTGCTTGGGATTCAGGCCCCGCCCAGTATCTTTTCGCAACACCTCCGAATCTCTGCATCGTGCTTCAATGGCTGGCAGACGTGGCTTCAATGGCTGCAGCTATTTCCTCCCATGGTAATGCTCCATCCCCAGGGGGTCAATGGAGGTCATCAGTGCCTGAGAGCCCGCGCGCTAGGGCTGGCCTAGGGTGGGGTTATTCACCCTCTGGCCTCGGTCCCCTCCCTGGGGATGCCAGATGGGGGCTTGGGTGGGGTAGGAAGGACTATGACCTTCCTCTCAGCCTGCCTCTCGCTGGGCAGACCCAGAACGAGGCAAGAGGATGAAGGAGGGCACGCACATCAACCGAGGCGCTGCTGGCCCTGGGCAACTGGCGGCCAAGCGCTCAGTGAGAAGGGGCAGCGACCGGGCAGTACGTGAACTTCCGGGACAGCAAGCTCATGCGCTGCTGAAGGTGGGGTGCTCGGGTCCGGAGGCTGGGCGTGGGCCCTGCACTTTCAGGAGATACCCAGCAGGGGAGAGGCCCAAACCTGGATGGAGCCAGAAAACCACGGTAGATGCCATCTCCTAGTCACTTCCTCACTCCCTGGAAAGTATGGTCCTCTTGTGTCTTGCATTACCCGGTGACAGGGAGCTCACCACCCATCCGCAGCTGCCTCCATCTGGAGGGCTCTGACTGTGAGAAAACTCCCTTTTATTCTGAGTTTGAAATGGCGGCACCTCCATTCCATGTGAGCAAGGTGGGGTATGAATTTACACATAGGATAAACACACTAGACCAGGTGCCAGTGGCTCACACCTGTAATCCTAACACTTTGGGAGGCCAAGGTGAGGTGGATTCTCACCTGAGGTCAGTGAGTTTTAGCCAGGCTTGGCCAACATGGGATATCCTGTCTCTACTAAAAATACAAAAAAATTAGTCAGGCATGGATTACGACCTGTAATCCAGCTTACTCTGGGAAGGCTGAGGAGGGAATCGGCACTGAAACCAGAGACAGAGCGTTGCAGTTGAGCTAGATGGGCACTACTGCACTCCAGGACTGGGTGACAGAGGTGAGATCCATCTCAAAAAAAACAAACAACAACAACAACAAAACGGTAAATAAATTTTTCTGTAACTTGACCCCTTGGATCCATCTGCTTTCGTCAGAGCTGAAGTCAGGGGACAGGGTGAGCTGGAACGGGTCCCACTTTCATCCTCACAGGGTCACCCTCCCTGAGGGCTGAACCCTGGGTTCTGGGCAGCTTGCCCTTTCCAGGGCTTGGAGCTGGCATCTCAGATGTCCTGGTGACAGCTGGGGCAGGGCCAGCGCCCTTGGGCAGGCGGGCCCTGAGGTCCCACTAACCCCCACTTGGCGGTTTCCCCTGAACAGGATGCCCTGGGCTGGAATTAGCTGCACCAGTGCTGATTGCCCACGTCAGTCCCAGGCAGCACTACTTTGAGGAGTCTCGGACCACAATTGCTGCTACACCCACAGGCGCAAGAACATTAAGGGACCAGGGTAAGGCGTGGGTGTTTGGACTTCAGGATTTCTAAGTTGTGCAGTCAGTGGCATTAAGTAAATTCATGTTCTTCGGTGCAACCATTACCACCACCAATTTCTAGAACCTTTCTTGTACTCCCAACTGAACCACGCTTTTTTTTTTTTTTTTTTTTTTTTTGTTGGAGACAGGGTTCTGGCTCTGTCATCTAAGCTGGAAGTGCATGTGACCACCATCACGGCTCACTGCAGGCTTGATTCCTGGGCTCAAGCCATCCCTGCTCGACTTCGCCTCCCAAGGCAACTGGGATAACAGGGCACATCTCGCAGTGCCCGGATAATTTTTCAATTTTTTGTGGCAGACAGGATCTGCCCTGTGTTGGCTCAAGGACTGGTCTAATGCTGGGCTCAAGTGATCCTCCTGGGTCCTCGAGCCTCCCCAAAATGCTGGGATTACGGGTGGTGAGCCACGTGGTGCCACGGAACTCTGCACCCAGTAAACCATAACGTCCTCACACGCTCTCCAGCCACTGGATACCCTGCTTTACCTTCCATCTCTATGAATTTGAGGACTTGGAATACTCATATATGTGTTTTTGTTGTTTTGTTTTTTTAGATGGAGTTTCACTCCCGTTGCCCAGGGCCAAGTGCAGGGCACGATTCGGTCACTGAACTACTACCTGCCAGGTTCAAGGCATATTCTCTGCCCTCAGTCTACCACGTAGTTGGGACTACTGGCGTGTGGCCACCATGCCTGGCTACTTTCTGTACTTTTTAATGGAGATAGGGTTGGCACCACGGCTGGGCAGGCCTGGTCTCAAACTCCTGACGTGCATGATCTGCCTTGCTCGGTCCCAAAAGTGCTGGATTACAGGTGTGGACCGTGCTGGCTGGTAGGTGTTTTTTTTTTGTTTATTTGTTTTGAGATGGAGTACTCACTGTGTTGTCAGGGCTGGAGTGCAATGGCGCGATCTCAGCTCACTGCAACCTCTGCCCTTCGGGTTCAAGTGTTTCTCCTGCCTCAGCCTCCCAAGTAGCTGGGGACTAATAGGCATGCAAAAAACCCACCTACCAAGCTGAATTTTTTTATTTTTATTTTTTTTAGTGTAGACAGGGTTCACTATGTTGGCCAGGCTGATTTTCAAACTCCTGACCTCAAGTGGTCTGGCGCCTTGGCCTCCCAAAGTGCTGGGATTTACAGGCGTGAGCCACCACACCTGGCGAGGACCTCAGTAGGCGGAATTACACAGTATCTGTCCTTGCTGGGACTGGCTTATTTCACTCAGCAGCATGTCTGGAGGTTAACCATCTTTTTTTTTTGAGACGGAGTCTTGCTCTGTAGCCCAGGCTGTTTAGTGCGCAGTCGCGCGGATTCTCACCCCCCCCCCCCCCCCCCCCCCCCCCCCTGCTCGCTGCAAGCTTCGGCTCCCAGGTTCAACGCCATTCTCCTGCCTCAGCGCTCCCGAGTAGCTGGGGACTACAGCGCCCCACACCCACGTCCGGCTAAT